TCTAATTGTCAAGTTTATATGTATTGTGATGTTCCGGTTCCTACTTAGTTGATCTTTCCTCTATGTGCATATGCTTTTCACTAGTTCTAGCTTCTCATTGTCAAGTTCATATGTGTTGTGATGTTCCGGTTCCTACTTAGTTGATCCTTCCTCCATGTGCATGTGCTTTTCACTAGTTCTAGCTTCTCATTGTCATATTCATATGTGTTGTGATGTTCTGGTTCATACTTAGTCGATCTCTCCTCTATGTGCATGTGCTTTTCACAAGTTCTAACTTCTCATTGTCAAGTTCATATGTGTTGTGATGTTCCAGTTCCTACTTAGTTGATCTTTCCTCCATGTGCATGTGCTTTTCACTAGTTCTAGCTTCTCATTCTCATGTTCATGTGTGTTGTGATGTTCCGGTTACTGCTTAGTTGATCTCTCCTCTATGTGCATATGCTTTTCACTAGTTCTATCTTCTAATTGTCAAAGTTCATATGTGTTGTGATGTTCCGGTTCCTACTTAGTTGATCTTTTCTCCATGTGCATGTGCTTTTCACTAGTTCTAGCTTCTCATTGTCATGTTCATGTGTATTGTGATGTTCCGGTTACTACTTAGTTTATCTCTCTTCTATGTGCATATGCTTTTCACTAGTTCTAACTTCTAATTGTTAAAGTTCATATGTGTTGTGATGTTCCGGTTCCTACTTAGTTGATCTTTCCCTCATGTGCATGTGCTTTTCACTAATTCTAGTTTCTCATTGTCATGTTTATGTGTGTTGTGGTGTTCCGGTTCCTACTTAGTTGATTTTTCCTCCATGTGCATGTGTTTTTCACTAGTTCTAGTTTCTCAGGCAAACTCATGCATGTTGTGATGTTCCGTTTCCTACTTAGTTGATCTCTCCTCTATGTGCATGCGCTTTTCACTAGTTCTAGCTTCTCATTGTCATGTTCATGTGTGTTGTGATGTTCCGGTTACTACTTAGTTGATCTCTCCTCTATGTGCATATGCTTTTCACTAGTTCTAGCTTCTAATTGTCAA